TTCTTCTGTGGCTAAGTCCATGAATTAATTTGTTTCCAACAAAAATTCTTCCAATAGTGCATATATATTGAAAGAATGAATATCAGTAAAAAATAGAACTAAATATACCTCTGTAAATATGTGCATTTTAAGATAATTTTTAATATTCAACTTACTGGGTAGACATAAAACATCACAGACGTAAATATACATTGTCAAATATCTGTATATGCAGTATATAAGTATGTATTTGTATAGCATGGTCTATCTGCTTCAGCACACAGAGGTTTTATTTCTGTGAGCACCCTTCTGTGAAACAAGAGAGCTAACTGAAGGCAGAGCATGGATTATTCAGTTGGAAAATCCTAATTGTCAGTCGACTACTGTAATTCAAGCATTTAAGGCAGAGTTAGTTGGCAGGTTTGCATTTGCCACCCCCCTTTCTGACTGCAAGAACAGAGGTAGTGAATGCCTTGAGTTTTCCAAATCAGAAAACATTGAGAAAACAAAGAAACGCTTTATTTTTCCAGCATATAAATTAAGATTTATGTGCATAATCTACTCTGAATGACTAGTTGATATTTTATGAAATTTTTAAAACAGTGTTGTCCAATAAATATGTGATCCTCAGATGACAATTTGGGCTATCATAGTTTTGGTGCTATCTCCTCTATCTTTGGCTGTCACCTTCACTTTGATCATCATCAAATTCTAAAAAAAAAAAAAAAATATAAAGCATTACTCATACTGTTGAATTCGTAACTATTGCTGATTTTATGTCATGATCAATGATGTATACAGACATACATGTGCATTCATCCACACACATACCTGGCATTACTTCTAAGACATCAGATCTATCACCAAGTTACTGCTTGCTAGTAAGTTACATTTCTTCTTTTGCACTTTAGTAACTGCATGCTTTACTAATTGCAAATGCAGAGTAACTCAGGTGGGTTTTGATCCTTTCACTGAACTTTTCCCTTCTTTAGCACATCTCAAAGTGCTAAAACCATTTTCCCAAGCATCAGTGGTAAGTGTTGCTCAAATGTCTTGATCACACATCTGAGCCCTGATGACTGGTCATTTGTTTCCAAGATGATGTGTTGGCTGAAGATTGTATAGACCGATGTATTGGCTAAATTGTCAGGATTTCTTTGTGTTGATCCTGTTCTTTCTTTTGTGTCACTTTGGCTACAACTAAGCACTAAGGCAGGTCTGCCTTTTTGCCCACCCTACATCTCTGGTTCTCCCACCTAGATTATAAAGTGATGGGATGAAGAACATTGCCATTTCTTCTCCATCTACATGCTGAATTTCCTTTTACAGGGGAATAATGCGGGAGACAATGATGATCTTATGCAGTGTACAGTGAGGAAGGATGGAGGTAGGATGTTCCACTGTTGGTATCAGCTGGGACTTGTGACCACGTCCTGCAGTATAATGGGAGAGGTTGTGAGGAGTGAGATTGTTCACCTGCCAGCATTTAAGAACTCTGTAACAGAAGGGGAACAATAATTATTCATTTACTAAGATGGGGAAAATATTCCAACAGCAAAAGTGGCAGGCATCATAGAAAAGCAAGATTTATAAGAATATATAGTTACCTGCAAGCTGAAATATTGGGTCAAGCAATGTTTTGAAGTTTCACAAAACATTCCATTTATATAGTCTGAAGAACAGATATGCCAGAATGCAGAGAGAGATGTTTTAACTCAGAAAGTCAAAGAAAAGTATGAAATTCTGTGACCGGAATGATATAACATTGCTTGTGAGCTAATGGTTTCAGTGTAAATAACTTTTCTATCGAATACAGTTTTCCTCTTCACTTTTATGGATGTTCTTAAAGATAACAGTTACATATATCTCCATGATGGACCATAATGTTTCCCTGGAAATTTGAGAAACCATTTGATAGGTGTGCAACTTTTGAAGCTTGTTAGAGTTTTTGACTATTTTTTGATAAATGCATGCTACATTTCCCAGCTGGCTTTGGGAAGTTGTCCAGAAGGCTGTGTCTATAAGGGCTATGGCACATACTGAAGATAGGAAAAAAAGGAAGGGTCATTTTTTTATTACTGTCCCTTTGTGATTTTCTGTCATAACCAGGAGTACAACCTAACATAATTTCCGTGGGTTAATTTTTCTCTGTGAGTTATTTTCTTTAGATAATGCCTTTACACCATAACAGAGTATGACAATTTAATGCAGCTAGATAAGAACTAAAACTGAGATATGGTCTCTTGTGCAAAGTCAAGTTTCTCTCAGTTGCCCCAGTATCTTGAAAATAAAGTTCTATATCCTGGTAAATATTGCTATTATTATGTATCTATGGCATGGAGTACTGAATACAGAATGGAGGTACACAGCAAGGTTTTCATAAAACCCAGGAAATTAATTTCTTTGAGATTGGAGTGGTAAAGCTGTGGATAGTCTTAGACATAACTGGTGTATTGGTTTTTTTAGTTTTGATGATTGCTTTTCAGAATTTCTTGAAATACAGTTTTGTAATCTGAAAGGACCAGATTCATATCCATACCAATACATGACCATAACTAAATAAATATTAATATCAAGTAATTGACACCTGATTTTGTGTGATATTTTAAACAGTAGCGTTGTACAGCATGATCTATCCATGACTTCAGGAATGTATGTGAAAGGGAGCAGCCAGGATACTGCAATGAGGCCATCATGAGTGTTGGATGGGACAGTTCCTCGAGGAACAGGAATATACATATGAGCAATTATTTTTATATATTTTTTCAACATCCTAATGAAACTGCCCAGAATGGGCACTTTTATGTAGAGCTGTCTTTAAGGCAAAAACAATCAGTTGTGCTGGTTCATGATCACCAAACTTCACAATCAGAACTGATGGTGATGGCTTGCTACCTGCCCTTTAGGATCAGCTATTAAGTCTGACTGCTAAATCTTCTAAGATCTGCTACATTTAAAATGTAGGCAATTCTGTCGTGGAGATTTGTTATACACTTCTTTTAGAAGGAAATTCAGGTATGAAGGCACTCTGCCCATTATTGCAGTCAAAAAGACTCTACATTGAAAAAAGGATAACAAAATCCCTTAGTAATAACAGTTTTGCAAGGAGGTAGATGTACTAGTAACAGTTTTAGTTTTACCAGTGAAAGACAAGTACTATTTATTTTGACAGTTTTCATATTCAGTTTCAGATGTTAACTCTTGCTCTTCAAAAGGAACATGAATTCTTCTGTCTGATGAAGATGATGAGGACAGAGACCTTCTATAATTTACAGCTAGACATTTCTTGTTTAAGAAGAAAGTAGGTAGAGTTCACAGTGACACATTAGAAAGGAAGTAGAACATTATATGAAAATTACAATATTCCTAACTGTGATTAGGCTGTGCTTGATAAATATCCGTAGTGCCTATGCACGTGATGAATAGGGATACTTCAAATCTGAAATTTTACTTTATCAATTTGTTGGGGCTGAACTTCCTTCATAATTAGGATTTTCTTGCCTGCATCTTTGCTTTCTTTCTAGACATGGGGGAATCTTGTGTGAATGACACAAATTTATCATCCGTGATGTCATGTCTATTTAAACTCTTGCAGTGAGTAGATGTCTCCCATATGGTGTAACTGTTTTGAATACTTACAATTGCTTGATGCAGGCAATACCAGTTGTTTTGTTTTTTCACCTTTTTGCCAGCACTGGGTTCTTCCATGTAATTTTAGTGATGCACTCTGATTGCTGTTGGGTGTCACTTCTGTGGTCTAATAAGTCTTGTAACGAGTCTAAAATATTGGCAGCAGAGTGCTCTTTCCTGTGTTCATATCATCCCATTACATCAAGTAATATTTCTCCCCTTCTCACCAAAATAGGTAAAGTGATTCCTCCAGGGAGAAGCTGATAGTGTATGAGCAGTTGCAGCTGTAGAAGCCTTCTGGGACTAGAAGTGTTATGTAGATGTAAGATGCTGCTGATGGGTTCTTTAAGAATTCAAGGTCATCATGGATTTGTGTTTAGATGCTTGGCTAGTCTGATTAAATAAATAAATAGGTAATCCAGAGAGAATTTATTTTCTTGTTTTCCTTGATAATCTTAGAGACGAATTCTGGAGAACAACTTGGTCCACTGGCATTGTCTCTAAAATCAGCTTTATCTCTAAGAAAAGTTGATCCCTTTGTTTGTTGGAATCTATCACAAAACAAGCACATGATGCATTTTCCTATCCAAAGAAATGTTTTGTATGAGGGAAAACTCAAATTTGCCCTTTAAATCTCTAGTAAGAACAAAATAAAAAACTAAGTTATGTTCATAGGAGATATGTGTCATTTTTTCTTGAGGGAACTTTGGAAGTGTTTCAGTTTCTTTTCTTGGTAGAAATCTCACAAGAGTTTAATCATTTGTGAAAGTACATTGCTTAAAAAAAGATATCTTGATCATCCTCATGTAAAAGGGTACTTTATTTTAAAGACTCAATTTGAGCATGAAGGAAATTGATGAAATTGTAGTACAAAACCTTTAATGCATTATAATGATTACATTTGGAAATCATTATGTATACAAGTAGTTATTACAGAAATAACCTTCTTTGTCAAGTATTCTTGTCATGGAAGTAATCAGCATCCTATCATCCTAATTGTTTGAGAACTCTGAAATCTTTAATGAGGTTTTTTTACAGAAAGATTTCAGTCAAATGCAAATGATTCATTAAAACCCTTAATCATAAGACAAACAGTTATTCTTTAGTAATTTTTTTTATTCACTGTAATAAACGTAGCATGTTAACCATAGATATACAGTTAACTGTTTTTCAGTAACTTTTCTCACAGTATTTTTCATTAAAAGCCATTGTTAGGCATACTGGTTGGACTGAGAATCAAATGCTTGAAAGATGTCAGGATATCTGTGTCTAATATAGGTTCAAATAGTTTTTTTCCTTCGAGTGTTTTAAAAATAAATTTGTCTTCGGGTTGGTAGAGAGAAATATTTTTCAGTCAGTATTGACAATCAAATATCATCCTTTTTTCACAGGTCTGATTACAACAACATCAAGAAAATTGGACCGGGAACAGCAAGCAGAACATTTTTTGGAGGTAAGTTTAAGTGGAAAATATATGCTAAATACTTAACTGATTCCTGTAGTTTAAAATCACTTCTTCCTGTTCCAGGAGAGTGGTATTCTCCTTTCTCTTCATTTATAATAGACTCACATAAAGCTGAGAATCACCTGATTATACAGAATAAATACAACATTTTGCAATTCACAAGCACAGGAAAAAAAATGAATATGCACACTTGTTTTCCACCTGTAATCTACTTCAGTTAAGTCTTTTATTGTAACCCTTAAATTTTGTTTTGTATAGAATGTCCAGAGCAAAATATTGTTTTAAAAAAATAGGTTGAATGACTCCAACCCTGTCAAGACTTTTAGTGTCTCAAGTAAACATGCTTAAAGTTTTGCATCTTGAATCTAACATATCAGACTAATCATTTGGATGAAAGCAAAATTTGACCTTCCTTACATTCACTGCATCATCAGAATCAGTGAATTTTTTTAGCTTTCATGAGTTCGGACTGTTAACAACAATTTTCAAATTAAAAATTGCCTTCCAAAAGGATTGTCAGCCATTCTCTTGGCCCTTGTGATGAATGTTTCTCTTTATAAGTAGCTCAGAAATGTTGGATATGGAGTGATATACTTGTAAACTACTGGTTTTGCCACATGTGTTTTCTTTCACATTGCTGTACACCACGCTGTGGTTTTTTCCTTTGGGTAAAAGATCCTTGACTCTATCCTCTTGTCTATTTGTGAAATGAGGAATTCTTGATTCCTCTCGGTACAAGTAAAAAAAGCCATGTTGTCCCGCATAATCAATCATCCCTAGGATGATTTTAGAAAATTCTCTTCAAATCCCTATAAGCTAAAAAACATCTGGACAAAATAGTTCCCAGTGGAATCATTATCTGGCAACAAAATGTAGAAAAATGTACATTTGCATATTCCATATTTATTTTTGTTTGCTAGAAATACCAAATTGTTTTGGTCAGTGCAGAACACAGGAGAGAAGGGTTAATTATTAGTGTACAAGTTTGGGTTGTGTTTTCTTGGTTTTTTTCTTGATAATTCACTGTAGATTCTTACACTTCCATGCCATAAATAAATGGAGGGAAATAAAAGGATTTTTCCCTTTTTAGGATTAATTAAGTTGGAAAGTTAGTAATCATGTGTTCCAATATCTTCAAGGTTTCCAGTTTATACTGTCAGAATAGATCACAAATGGAATGAAAGGGGCATTGATTTTGAAATATATCTATTGATGAGAATCTTAGGTCTGGAAGTCTCTGTTGCTCAGCAGAGCATCCTAGTGGATGACAAGTTAGCCATGAGCCAGCAGTGTGCCAGTGTTGCCAAGAAGGCCAGTGGTGTCCTGAGACACCTTAAGAAAGTGTGTGGTCAGCATGGCACAGGAGGTGATCCTTCCCCTCTACTCTGCCCTGCTGAGGCTGCATCTGGAAAGCCTGAGGGATCTAGGCCTGTTTAGCCTCAAGAAGAGAAAACTGAGAGAATCTTATCAATGTTTATAAATATCTTAAGGGATGGTGTCAAAAGGATGTGACCAGACTCTCTTCAGTGGTGCCCAGTGACAGGAGCAGGGTCGACATGCACAAACACAGGAAGTTCATTTGAATACAAGGAAAAACTTCTTTTCTGTGAGAGCGACAGAGCACTAGAACAGGCTGCCCAGAAAGGTTGTGGAGTCTCTCTCTGAAATTTGGCTTTAGTCATTAATATGAGTTAATGTATTCCTTCCCCTGAATTTTATCTCCTTTGCAAAAATAACCATCTGCAAAAGTTTGAGGACTGAAGATGTCATAAAGGGAAATTTGTGTCTCATAGGCTGCTCTGAGGCTTGTGAATGGAGAGTAAAGTGGAGGGCAGGCTACCTAGAAGAGAAACACCTGAGCAGAGTGTCCTGCAGAAGTGGGGAAAACACATTGTAAAACCCACCTTGGAACAGTGTTCAGGAAGGGCAAACAGACTCTGGTAGAGACACAGCCCCAGTGGCCAAATTGACCCTTTGACCAATTGAGTTTGTGATGAAACACTGACCTTCACTGCTTCTTGGGGGGAGCAGTTCCTGCTGCACATAGGCACATGAGCTGGGGTCCACAGCCAGGCTGGTCAAGCTGTGCTCATTCTCATGGCAAACTGAGAAACGTTTTCTAAAATGCCTGTCTGTCTCTGTGTAATTAACCCCCTGGGGAGGCCTTAATTGCCCAGACAACCGTGGTCTCCCAGTAGTACAATGTTTCCCTTCCAGCTTCATTTCATACCCTTCTTGCAGGAGTTTGTCTGATGTAAAAGAGAGCAAACTTGGCTCCCTTTGAAAAGCTCTGATTAGTATTTGATCTAGCAACCCTTGCTCCCCTTTGTGCAGTGTGTGTGTGTGTGTGTGTGTGTGAGGCACTGACTGACTTTTCCTAGATACAACTTTTTAATTATTTTAAATAAAGTTGTCTCTTCCCTACCTGAATTTGACGGAGACGCTGTACCCTGTAGATACCAGCCAGTACTTACTTATCAAATTTCATTATTAACAGTATTTCCACCTCTTTCAGAGTGTTTAGGCAAATTAAGTGAAATAAGATGGCAGATGTTAGTCATTGTAGTTGTGTTTGGTGCCAGTGCTCATCTCCAGATTGCTGCCCATGATAGCTTAGAGCTCCTCTTCTGGAGTTAGCTATCCCTGTCCATACCAGAGGAAACATGAATTACCGGCAAGGACTGTATGTGTATTTTTAAGGCTGACATGCTTAGGAAAGGAGAATCTAAGTGACTTCCCTTGCAAGTGCACAAGAATTCTGTTGCAAACTAAGTACTGAGGCTCAGGTCACATGTGCATCTCTTCTTCCTTCCTCCTTTAGTTATCTTCTTTGGATGTATGGACCTGTGTCCGCATGGATTTTTTAGTGTACCTAAGGCTGCTGTCACAGGTCTCCAACTTACCAAAGAGTATGTCCCGAAGTGAGGACAGAAATATGTGAGACCTTGAACCAAAAGATGAATGAGGAAGTCAGAAATTGAGTCCCCTTTATAATAATTGAGATTGTTATAGGTAAATAAACCAAATCAAAATTTAGCAGCAAAATTTATTGTAAGATTTATATAAAGCGCAAATCAGCGCGCTGGGTGGCCTGGAGAGACCCCTGCTCCCCACCGGCCCACAAGCCCAGTAAAAACAAACAGCAACTTTTATACTTTTTCAGCTCCCCCTCCCATAGCCACTTGTTAGCTCTTGATTGGGCTTGGGTTCGTGGGCTTTGTTCTGGTTGGTTCTGTTGTAGGCCCATTTTGATTGCCAGGGACTTTCCATCAGTACTTTCCATTCAATACCTTTAATTAGCCCAATGTCCTTGGAACTGAATATGGGAAGGTGTCCAGATGGTCCAGATGTTCTCCTTGGCTCTTCTTTATCATGTCCATCCTTGACCCTCTGATCCTCGTTCTCTTCTTCTTTTCTAATGAGTACACTTAAACAATATTTTTAGAAAAGCAGGATATGGTATACATGCTCAGTAAAACAAGATACTTTATCTTTGCCAACTAGGTAGGGAACTGCCAGTCGCAAGATAGTCAACTTGCAGCAGTTAACTATTCCACAGCTTACAACTCCCCAGTCCCAACAAAGCATTAGCTATAATATACAGAAAGTACAATATATAATTTGATGAGTAAATTATTTTATCATAGCTTACTTATTACAAGATTTTCTGTTTGCTTTGGTGATATTGTTTGGGGGTTTTTTGTTTTGTTTTGTTTTGTTTTTTTTACTTTGGCATTTTGGGAGGAGAAGAACAAATAGTATTTCTTCTCTCAGATTTTGCATTGATCCTTGCATTGTAAGTACTTTTTTTTTTAAGTTCTCAAGTTGAGGGCTTAATTTTTTTGACAAATTCGTAATGTCCTGCAAAGCTTCAGGTTTTATTTAGTGCTTGCTATCAGGTAGAATTTTTCTTCTTAGTTTTAAATTGGGTGTCACTGGATTTTATGCAGGATGGTCTCTTTCTGTAGTGGATTCTTATTAATGGAATGCTTCTGCCTGAAATGGGAGGAAAATGACCACTTGATTGCATTACTTTCTCACATGAAGCAAGCCAGAAGCATTTGTTCTATTTCACAGACTTTCTCAAAGATTCTGTAGTTGGGATGAAGTGTTTAAATATCTATCTGAAAGAAGAAAAATAATCCTGAGAGTTACCTGCTTGCTTCACAAGTAAATGAAAAGAGCAATGTATTTCCAAGTGAGGTGCAACTTCAGGTGCTTTTCTTTATTCTTCTTCAATAATTGAACGCATCATTCTCTTCTTTCCTTCTTTTTCTTCTTCCTTCTTCTGGATATGTGTTGTCTTCTATAATTTCTCTGCTAACACTTCACTCTTTCTGCTGTTGTATTATACTGATTTACTAAAAAGGGGAAGCTAGAAGTGGAGAAAATGAGTGGAGTTTGAGCTATGGAAAAAAGCACAAAAAATAGTCTGGCTGGTTTTTTCTAACTACATTTTTTGTAGCTGCCTCCTAATCCTGGTCTGACAGCTTTACAAACTCTAGTTATTTTGCTACGTGATTTTATGGAAACAGCTGCTGGAGAGATGGAGATCTGATAATAAGCAGAAAAAATTAAACCATTTCAGGCAGGATCTGCACCCTTGTGTGGTGTCAGTTGATTTCGAGATGTCCAGAATATAAATAGGCCCAGGTCTGCTTTCCAGTGTACATGACAGCTTCATGGGAGAGGATTGTTGACTCCAGGCTACACTTCATTGACTTGTGCATTCAGCCTGGAAAGTGGATCTGACCACATGCTTTCTCACCCTGAGCAGTTTTTGAATACGCTGTAGCAGATGTTTTGTTGCTTTATGCTTCAGCACAGAAAGCCTCTGCAAAACACACCCACCGCTGAGGAGTTCAGCTTGCTGGAAATTACTGGGGCAAGACCTGTGTTTAGCAAAAGACCTAGCCAAAAGAGTTACAGGCTGGTGTGAAATTCTAGCAACAGTCTTTGAAATTTTATGATGGAAGGGATGAATTGTC